GACGGCCAGCTTGGTGCAGTTCTCCATGGTCTTGGCCGTGCCCATGTTCTCTTCGGCCATGAGCATGCGCTGCATGTAAAATGCGATGAGGATGAAGGGCGTGAAGGCGAGGGCGACCAGACCCAGACTCCACTCGTAGTACATGGACAGACCGATACCGAGGGCTAGCGTGGAAACAGACTGAATGATCGTGCCGATTCTCTGGCCAGTTGCCTGCGCGAATCAATTGGTGAAGAAAGCAATCAGGAGAGGATTCATTGTGGAATTGTGGTACAACTTACGCCTTGGACAGCGGCGGCATCGCCGGAGAGGCGGGCGCACAGACTCCCTGTGCCGTTCGCCTTGTCATCGAACCAGGCCACTTCCTGTTTCAGCATCCTCTCGAACATGAGGCCGCGCAGGCGCTCCGTGAGCCGCTCTCCGGCGATGCCAAAGAAGTAGATCTGCATGAAGGTAGCGATGCCCACGACAATGCCGGCGATCAAGAAGTAAAGACTGTACTGGTTGCTGTTCTCGCGGACGTACTCGTCGTTGTTCTTGACTGAGAGCACCTGCAGGATGCTGCCGAAGAGTACGGCAAAGATGGGCATGGCACAGCCCATGATCACCGAAGATATGCAGCCGACGGTGACCTGCGCCCACTCCGGCTTGTTCATCTTCATCACCTCCGCCATGGGCTTGACCTCGTTGGGGTCCTTGACCTTCTTCTTCTTCTTCTTGTCCTTCGCGACGGCCTCTAGCTCCTTCTCATCGTCCTCCTCCAGCACCTTTATCTCCTCCTCGTCCTCGTCCTTGATGACGAAGTTCTTGTAAATGTCCCCGCTGGGGCTGAGTACGGTACCGTCATCCTCGCCCAGCTGGGTGGTAACCAGATTGAAGTAGTGGCTCTTCAGCATCATCAGCTCATGGTGCGTACCGCTCTCCACCACCTCGCCCTTATTGATCACGACGATGCGGTCCGCCCGGCGTACCGTCGACAGCCGATGGGCCACAATGACGGTCGTGCGTCCGGCGCTGACCTTCTCCAGGGCTGCCTGCACCTTCGCCTCACTGGCAGTGTCCAGGGCCGAGGTGGCCTCGTCCAACAGCAGTATCTCCGGGTCGCGAATCAGGGCCCGTGCAATGGCAATTCGCTGCTTCTGGCCTCCGGACAACTGAGCTCCGCGTTCGCCCACCAGCGTATCATAGCCGCGTGGCAACTTTTTTATGAACACGGCCGCATTGGCGGCTTCGGCCGCCGCCTCAATATCAGCCCGAGTGGCGTCCTCGCGTCCGTAGCGGATGTTCTCGTAGATCGATGTAGCAAAGAGCACGGGCTCCTGGCCGACGACTCCAATGCGGGAGCGCAGCCAGTTGATGTCGATGTCTCGCAGGCTGGTGCCGTTGAAGAATAGATCGCCGCCGGCGGGGTCGTAGAAGCGCTGCAGCAGCTGGATGCAGGTGGACTTGCCGCAGCCGGAGGGTCCGACCAGGGCCACCGTCTGGCCGCGATGGATCTTTAGGTTGAGACGGTTCAAAATGGGAATCTCGCTGCGCGTCGGATACTGGAACTCGACGTCACGAAACTCGATGGTCGTGAGGGGCTCGTTGAGGTTCTTACCTTGATGGCCGATGGGATTGATGGTGGGGATCTGCTCGATGATGTGGAAGACCTTCGCGCAGGCGCCCTTGGCAATGCCGAATGCCTCGATGTAGGGCGCGGCCATGCCAATGTTCATCGAACCCATCATCACCGAGAAGAATACGGTGATCATCGTGCCGGCGTCGTAGCTGGCATAATACGGATCGTGGTACCCCTTGATTACCAGCCCCACGCCGTACCAGAAGGCCAAAGCGTACGAGGCATAGATGAAGAACCAGAGCATGCCGAAGCCGATGCCGGAGAACATATTGCGTTTGATGTTCAACAGCTTGGCGGCCACAACGCGTTCCTTGTAGGCGGACACCTCCTTCTCCTCTCCCTCGAACGCCTTTACCGTGCGAATCCCGGACAGGGCGCCCTCGGCCACGACTGCTGCTCCAGCGTACTGGGTAACCTCTTGCTTGGCCAGCCTGGAGGTCGCCACCGACACCAGTCCCATCGCGACGAAAGTTAGCGGCAGGCTCGTAAGGCACACCAGAGACAGCTGCCAGCCTTTGACAAAGGCCAGCACCAGGGATCCCACAAAGGACACAAAGTAGTGGACGAACATGACGACTTTTTCGGCGAGACCATCTTCCATTTTGGACAGATCCCTGGGGGAGAGGGAGAGATGGGAGGGAGAACAGTGAGCGATTGATGGGGGGATGGATGGATGGATGTTTGGGGAGCAACTTACTCGTTCATACGGCTGGCCACTTCGCCGCTCTGGTTGAAGTCATACCAGCTCATGTCCTGGTGCAGGATGGAGCGGAAGAACTTGGAGCGGATGGTCAGAATCTGCGAGTGGGCGGCGTAATTGAAGCAGGTGATGGAGAGATAGGAGCACACCAGCATCACAATTCCAATGTATGTGTTCTGCAGAGAGAACTCCCGCACCTTGTCGAGGAGCAAGTCTCCCTCGTCGTCACCGTCACGTTGGTACGTCCTACCCTCATCTGCCCCGGTCAAATCGATAAAGTTCTATAGGATGTAGGATTATATAGAATGCGTATGAGAGATGGAACCACACAAAAACTACTGCCACTTACGTTTGCCAGGTTGCCGAAGATTAAGCTGTTGGCGGGAGTCGTGAGACCAGTGGCTACGGCGGACAGAAGTCCGATGACATAGAGCATGCGGTCCTTGGTGGTGGCATAGCGGAACATCTGGAAGTAGCCAACCTGTTTGACCTCCTCTTTGTAGGAGCCATCGTCCTGCTCCTCCTCTTCCGCCTCGTCATGCTTAGAATTCTTTTTTTTCGTCTTGTTGGGAGCACTGCAATAAAGGGCGACGCGCACGCCAATCATCGGTCATTAACACAGTCCTTTCTATTGACGCCATAACCGCTTGAACATGAAACTATCAGTGGCGTGGCCCTATCGCCTGGCGATTGCAAATTCCTTATCTTCGAATGACACCAGTATCAACTCATATCAGCCGCCTACTACACGTCCGCATGCCCATATCAAAATGGCGACATACGCGCGTCCATATGTAGAACGTAATATAATATAATATTATCATGCTGTGCCGCAGACGTGCTTTATTGTGCTTTTTGTTGTTTTCTAAATTTATTGTTTTAGACATCGATGAACGATACGATACCCTAATCATCGATGAACGAATGAATGTTAAAAACGAGATACATTGCCTAATTATATAGTTGGAAATTAGAACTATCACTCTATATCACCGCACTCAAAAAGATCTCAACGAATCGTCTAACATTTGAATATTCAGCAGATCTATTAATGCCTGGAATCTATCGAAAACATTGTATTGGATATTGGATGAACAGAGAAGTGACACACTTGAGGCTTGAGAGGGTATCAACAAGGTCGTCACTTGATTTTTTTTATTATGGTATAATTTGCAATGTCATCGTTGAAGTGCCATTTTGGTAAAGGTTAAATACTTCTTTTAAATTTCTTGCACACAACAATGGCAAGGCAGGGGTATACATATTTCATATAAAAAAAAATTATAGAAGTGCTTCCTTTCATTATACTGGGAGAAACTCATCTCTTTCGGAGAAACTAAATGATCGCTCAGGTTCGGTTCTGAATGAGTAGATACTCTTCAGTCTATTTAACCACTGTTCTATTTGTTGCACAGTTAATTTTTAATTTCTTGCAGAATTGCACCAATGATTCACTTTTGCACTTTGAATGTCCTTTGATCTTTTCCGTGGCCCTTATTCCAACTTACAAGCTCTTTAAGTCTTTGTCCTGGTCTTCGAATGCTGCTGATCCCAGGACGATGTTCGTTTTGTACTGCAAACGCGATTTGTCATCGTCGTCCTTGACGATGACGCCGTTCGAGGCTGTCATCCTTTTTTTGTACCGAAGAAAAAGCCACACTATATCGATTTAAATATCAATCCGTTTAAGGTATCAGAGACCTCCTCGTAATCCTAGTGGTACCGCTGAGCGAAAGAGACTATTAAAATTTGTGCCCAGGTGCGGTCATTTATATGTATATTCATAATGCTCCGAGCAGTCAAGAGCCATATAAGCGGGCCTTATCACGTCTGATAGTGCTTATCGACCATGTTAATTGAACGAATCGAAGTGCCCAATTCTTAAGACTAACGGTGATTCTGGTCTGCTGGTGAAATGCCTGGCCAGCAATGCCATGGAATGAATGAAATACCTTAGAACATAAAGACGCGAAATCTGAGTGATCGATCCCATTGGAATGCCATTTGCTCCACCTGGTGATGGGGTATTCTTAATGGCAGCAGTTGGCAACTGTCTACTTTTTTATATTCCATGATCAATTGGTGGGATTTGATGGGATTTCAGGTAAATGCACTAAATCTATTGATTGCATATACAAAACTACAATCGATCTTGGCATTAAAGCATATAGTGTGAGTATATCTTCAACTGGTATATGTACATATATTTTCTAAGGTTTCATTGTGAATCCTGAATCCTGAATCCTGACTTGTCCAGCAGTAAGCCCATTTATATTTATATAAAAAAGGTCTATAAAATGTGGGATAAGCTGATTCATCGTACTAATGAGTAATTGCTGCTTTGATTCCTTTTAATTTGGGGAAACAGTTCGCGCATGATCCACCCTCAGCTATGAATTAGTAATAAATGGAAAAAATTCGTATAGTTATCGAATGATGAGAGGTGGACAGAGTGCGGGGCTGCCGGAGATAGCAGGACAAGTAGTATAGAGTACGAACACACCAAAACTGAATGTCTTGCCCTTATCGGGCCTTCCTCACGCGCCCGAATATATTGTACAAATCGAATTATGACGTGGGCGCGTGAGAAAGACGAACGATAGCATTACTCTGCAGATTGAATGGTACTGTTCGGTGATTCGGCGAATCCGATTGTGGAAATCAGTCGGTGGTAGACAATTAAGCAAATCCAGTAATGATAATTTATTTCTGATTTCGAAACAGGCATGCACTTGAGACCCCCTGCGAGAGGCTAGCTGGCACTTCTGAATAATTGCTGATTATCTCTGGACGACATGGGTACTCTGATTCAATTGCCGGCAACGGATTGGGGGGAGGCCAGCTAGGAGATCCTCATGACCATGCGCAAGGCATCGCGATTGATCTTGGCCTGTTTGAGAATGTGACCCTCCACAAAGATGTCCGACTCGTACTGCAGGTAGTTCACGCATTTGTCCACGTACAGGAGTGACTCCTCCAGCCGGTCCTTGGGTGACAGACTCGTCTCCAGGGACACGCGACGTGTTTGCTCGGCAATGGCCGAGTGCAGCTCGAAACAAAGCGTGCCGAGCGTGCGTACCTCACCTGTGGATACACATAATAGGATAGAATCACTTGAGATAACGCCCCCGCATACGCTGCAAAATATCAGTTATGGCCCTTACATGGCGCAATGGTCTCGTATAGTTGGACGAGATCCCAGGCGAACTGCAGCTTCAGTGCCAACTTGTCGTCGGGCATTACCATCAGCTCCTGCTGATCCTTGGCCAGGAGCTGGACCAGCAGAATCTTAACTTCACTCATGTGGTAGTGCCGCGGCGGCAGCCACTTCTCGTAGTGCTTCAGGTATCTGTAGAAGGGAGAAGAGTGCCGAGTTGAGACAACTTTGCCATCTGGAAATTACTCACTTTAAACCGTTTTCGGCCGTTTTCTCCATGCTCTGCAGGTCCTTGCCCGCACGCTCCAGGATCTGGTCTATATAATGCTTCTGTACCTGTTTCTGGCACTCGCGGCACCTGGAAAGGAGCACAAGGTTATTGGAGTATTAAAAGGGAGCGCACGGTACGGCGATACGCCGTGACACTCACTTCCAACTTCCATTCCAATCGTCGGTTTTGCTTGGCAGCATCAGACCATCGCACCGTCGGTCCTCACACTTTATGGCGCTGTAGTTGGTGCCCAGCTCCGTGACATCGGTACAGCGATCGCAGGCGCACTTGAAGAGCTTCGTCTGAACGAGATGCCGCTGTCGATCAGCAGTACCCCACATTGCGTCTGAGTAGCAGATGCTCAAGTGAGAGTTTTTCTTGATCTCGCGCGGGGCCCACAGGATGCAGTGTCCGTTCTTGTTGAAGCTCTTGGCCAGATTCGGCATGCAAGAGTGCTCCGTGAAGGAGGCCGTGTAGAAGACGGCCACGTGCGGGGGATCGGAGGTGGGGACTTCGTGGCCATTGATCTGGAGGGCACCCACTGCTCTCATGACTTCCTCCTCGCTGAACTTCTCTGTCTTGAAGAACCTGGCCGGAAACCGATGATTAGATTAGAATCGCATCATGAGTCTCCCCAAATGGTGATACTCACTTGGGTATGAACTGGCCAATGCTGGCCAGGTCTGCCTTCCACTGGTTGGACCCACGCCTGGTCGACTCCAGGGACTCCAGCTCCTGGAACTTGCTCGCCTTCTCCGGGCTTGTCTCACCGATGAGCAGACAGCGCACGGTGCTCACGCAGGTGTACAGCGGATGGGAGCCGTTGAACTCGTGAACGTTGACCTTCTGACCCCGCTCCTGGGTAAGCTGACACTCCGCCCTGTGCTCCCCGAGCGATTTGCACTCGGGTCCACACAGGGGCCATCCGCATAGGTCACAGTCGATGTGATCCTCGGGCTCGATGCTGTTCAGGCATCCCATGCAGACGGGCGGCGTGATCTGTGCTGGTCCTCGCACCAGCGGCGCCTCCTTCAGTATGATCTCGTAGGGCTTTATTGTACGCGTGGCCACCAAGTGTCGTCCAAGCAGATCATTGTGGGCAATCTGAAAATGAATGTGAGGTTGAGGTTATGTCGTAGCGGGGCAGGAAAGTTCGCGAAAACCTGCCTTGAATGGGTGGCAACTGGACTTGTGGGCTTTCCAGTCCTGCTTCTGGTGCTGCACGCTGCAGTAGGAGACCTGGTTGCAGTTGGAGCACTTGCTCTTGGTCGGCTGGTCGCACACATTGCAGGGATTCATCGCTGACGACATGGCGCAATCGATGAGCAGTGGACAACTGATGCTGTTCCACTCACAGCCTGTATACGTAAAAGTACGGTACGGTGTGCATCCACTGCTACACGATTTGCCGAGTCTCTTCAAAACTGTGCCGAGCTGTCGGGCATTAGAAGAGCACATCTCACATCTGTATGCCTGTACATTGTGATGGTGATGGGGGCGGGGGGACCGGGACTCTATAAATATCCCACTGTGGAGTGTACCAATGCTGTGCTAAAGGCAAACAAAACTCATGTGTGGATGAGGCACCGACCCTAAAAGTAGCCTTCAAAATATAGAATACATCTGTGACGGCGCTACGGCCGGGGTATGCTCGCCGCGTTGGGGTTCTCTGGATGTGGTAGCTGAAAGAAAGTCTCGTGGTTCAAGAAGGCGAGGATTAAGCAATACAAAAATAGAGTTGATTTGTTCTTAATGGTACAGAACTTAGTAGGGGCTCAGATCTTCCATCGGGGTGGCCGCAAGTGGGTGGTTCGAGTGATCGTCCGGCCGATTTTGGTCTAGATCGCGAAGGTTTAAGTACGCTCCGAGAAGATTTGTTGCGGAGGTTTAGGGCGCTCCGAGAAGTTGGGAAGCTTGAGTACGGTCCGAAAGAATTGGGCGACGGAGGATAAAATCCACTCCGAGAGGGATCGAAGGGCGAGGAGGAAGTACACAAATTAACCGTATTTTGGAAGAGGCCCTCTCAGAGCAAAGGGCCCAGAACCTGCAGCAGCGGCTGCAGTACTTGAATCAAGTACAATACATTCAGGGACCACCGCCACCGTCGCAGTACTTCCTCCAGCCCTCCTGCAACAGTATCAGCCAGTGCAAGCAGCAGCAGTACCAGCTGCTGCCTAAGGACTAGCAGCCCGAGGCTTCGTCGGTAGCGAACACGAATACGGCAATGTTGAGATGTACAGTAAAGTTTTCTGTTATTAATTATTAGTATAGGTATAAGAAATAAAGAAGAAAATAAATACTTCAAAGGTGTATATTTGCTTACAATGCTCCTATTGTTGTAGCACAAAAGAGACTACGGCGTCATAGGTCCCATGTTTTCCCCGTTTTCAACTTAAAGTCCTCTCCTTCCCATGAGTGGTCTTAGCGAAGTTTAGTTCTTCCGAAACAGATTTGATATTTAATTAATTTCATTTAAGTTTCAACAGCTGGACTAGGCCCGCACCTTGCACAAACATTTGGACATTTACAGCAAACAAAACTCATGTGCGGATGTGGCACCCACAATTAGTAGTCTCCAAAATATATAATACAACTATGACGGCGCTACGGCCATATGCTCCCGTTGGGGTTCACAGAAATTTGTTAAACCTCTGGATATGGTAGCTGAAAGAGTTTCGTGGTTCAAGAAGGCGTGGATTAAGCGATACAAAAATAGAGTTTAGTAGGGGCTCGTATCTTCCTTCGGGGTGGCCGGTTTTCGTCTAGATCGCGAAGGCTTAAGTACGATTTGTTGCGGAGGTTTAATTGCGCTACGAAATGATTTGTTGCGGAGGCTTATGAGCGCTCCGAGAAGATTTGTTGCGGAGGTTTAGGGCGCTCCGAGAAGTCGGGATGCGGATGTTTAAGTACGTTCCGAAAGAAATAAGCGACGTAGGATGGAGAAGGCTGATGATGATCGCTCTGGCGGAGGTTCTTTTTCTTCCCGAAAACCAGCAGTTCCGGTGCCTTGGCTATGCTATGGATGTGCTATGGGCACACTGTGGATATGGTTGTATATACACACACACTGTGTATGTGGTTGGTTTTATGCTTCTTCTGGCTTTCTATTTGATTTTTTTTTTTTGTTTATTATAATTGTAATGGCAGGTTTCAAGAATTTTGTGTCTTATTTACCAATAGTCCTGGTTGATGGATGCATGCATAATCTGATTTATTTTCCAATTCAATTAAATCATCCTACTGCATGTGCAATCGTTTGAGTGCTCATCTCGGCAAGGAGCGGGCCTTGCCTCTCCATCTCTGTCCCTGGGTCAATTATAGCTAATAAAACTAGAAAGGTGTATGCGTATGCGAATGCAACGGCGATAGCACTTCGATCATCATCAATACATAAATACAATTTTTACACAATTTATATAGCCTCCACCCAGCTATACACTGAGGTATATAAACTAATGGCGCTTCTGTCTGCGCCTAAACCTTGATTGTGGCCTGTTTTTCGGCTGGCATGTTGGATCCGCCCGCGCTATCGATCAAATCTCACTCTCATCCGTTGGCTCAGAGGGCTCGCGCACCGTCACAAACTTCTGCAGGGTGACGTTCTCCTTGTTGTTGTTTGACTTGCTGCCGCCGACACTGTTCCGCCGCTTGCCCTTTTCGCGCGTCTTTTCCGGCAAGCCGTTGACCTGGAAATTGTCACTTTGGAATGGTATCGATATTGGTATGCTGTATTCGCTTTGAAATGCAGTGGTTTTTTCCTTCTCCTCGTTATCCTTTCCCCTTTCCTTATTCTTATCCCGATCTGCTGGTGCTGCTGCTGGTGGTTCCGCATTGGTTTTGACATTGTAGTTCCCTGTAATAGCAGAACGAACATAAATAAGTAACTACTCTTTGTGACTGAGTTGTGACGTTTCTAACCTTTGGCTCCAAACATATCCGCGTGCTTGAAGCTGCTCCGATTGCGCTTCCCTCGCTTGCGCATGTTGAGCCGCAAGGTAGTCACGCTGGTTCTGCTGCGCTTTGATTTTGGGGTGTTGTGCTGCTCAGGGATGGGGGTCCTGGTCGTCTCCACGGTCTGCTGTGGCTGCGGCTTTGGCGAGGGGCCGGGACTCACACTTGGACTCGGGGTGGTGCGGCGTCCTCGGCTGCTTTCGGTGTCGGAATGATTACCCAGGTAACTATTGGCCGTTACATCTTCCTCTTCAGCCTCTGGCGACTCTACGTCATAGCACTCATCGTCCTGGTCTATGATTTCGATCTCTTCTTCGTCGTCGTCGGAGAGAGCCTGTCGCAGCAAGATCTCCGGTCCGCCGCCATAGATGCCGTGCAGGAGCCGCCATGAGCGGGCATTAAGCTGAGCATAATCCGATCCGATCCTCACACTGCGGATGGTACAGTTGCTATCCGTGGAAGAGGCTATTCCCTCATTCTTGATGGGGCCCGGCTCCTTGGAGGTCTTACCGCGGGAAAAGTTCTGCCAAGACCGCAGCCAGGGCATGTCGATGGCAAAAATGGCAGATGAGTCGAACTCGCTGTGAAGCCCGTTCAATTTGGTAAACTCGCTTAGCTCATGCTGCTGTCGCCTGGAGAGCGCCTCAGCCGCGCGCTTGCAAATCTCGCACTCAAAGAGAATGTTCACTGGCGGTCCACCGCCGAAAGTTTTGCACAGAAAGTCCCACAGGGGCTGGGAAATCGGCACTGCAATCTGGCTGATCATAGGCATTTTGGAATGTAGAACGCCGCCATGGGGACACAGCATTTCCTGGTTATTGATGGGACCCGGCTCGGAGAAGGTGGCCAGGCGGGAGAGCCACTCGCGCGTCACATAAAACTGAATGTCAGAATCGCAGAAGGGGTGTGAGTTGGACAGATGTTTGGCTTCCTCGCGGACGAGCTTTATCAGGGGATTGTGCTTTTGGTAGAAAAGTACGTAGGCCTGGCAGTTCTGCACCACATCGGGGCTCACCACAGTCACGAACTGGTCGTCGAACTCATACCAACGGCCGTTCAGAGTGTTGCGTGCATAACACGTGTAGTGGCCGCCGCCGACGGTGCCATGGTGGCAGATCACGGATGAAAGATTGTATATGGGCACCTCGCTTTTGCACTGCTTGTGCACGTAAGGCCGCATATCGAAGCCCTCCATGGGAAAGATAACGTGCGACGAGATCTTCGAGCTGTAGGACAGATCGTGTCGGAAGCGCTTCAGGTGGATGCACAGCACCTCGGGCAGGTTGATTACACGCGAGTACTTGATACCCGTTCGCAGTTTGTTGCATCGCGAGCAGCTGTAATGAATCACATGACGGATAATTGAGCAATTGGAATACACTTACTTCACTAATGCAAACTCTCACCTGTACATGTTGTCGCCTTTGAGCTCGTCCGCACTGAAAAAACTGGCCATGCAATCGTAGAGTGTTACCGAGGGTCCATACAGCCACGATCTAAACACGCCCCACATCCACGCCAACCAGCCGTCATTGGTTCTGCTTGATGTTTCGGCGGCGCTCAGACTCTGGACACTTAGGCTATGCGTTTGGTGCAGCACATTGAGGAAGTCTCTTGTGGGAATAGGCAGTGAAAGATCCTGGAATGTTTCCTGCCGTGAGGACACCCGATCGCAGGTGAGGCATTGAACGGCGGAGAGCAGTTTGCCGTCAAACACGTCACTGATGATGGAACGCGCCGACTCTATTGGTGGTTTTTGATCTGACGACGTTTCACGTTTTTTCTGTTTACGCTGCTGCTGCGGCTTTGGAGGAGCCTCTGGAATCGCAGTGCCTGAACCGATGACAGTTCGGCTTGGCGTAACAAAGAATTCGGTGTTTATCATGACTTCCCCCGCGATTTCGGACATGCTGCTCTCACACGTTTCATATTCGCTTTCAGAGCCTGTCGCCGAATGCGAGGAAGGCGGCACTTCATCCTCGTTTTCGTCGTCAGTTTCGTTGGGCTGTTTATTCTGACGCTGTTGCGATTGCCGCGACTGTGGAGAAACCTGCTCCGTGAGTTCCTCATGCAGCTGATCCATGAAGCAGCGAAGGAACTCCTGCGTGTCATGCTGCTGGTAGCCACGAAATATCGGATGCACCGATCGTATGCCATACAAAATGCCACGGGGGGCGATGTATTCTGTAAACAACACATTTTGTATAGCACTTTGTTCCATCTATCAGAATCAATGACGAATCTACCTTTGGGGTCTTCTATCTCCGACCAGATTTCCTGCATCAGGCGAATGTAGCTCTTGGCCAGACCCGCTGGCTTGCAGATTCGGGCATTCGCTCTCTGATCCGCAATGTACTCCACCAGATCGCTGCAGTTGATGAAGTAGTGAGTCATGGGCGGCAGATTACTCAGCGCTTGGAGTGCCGAGTTCATGTAGCATGTGTTGGCAATGTTTTGCAGTCCGACGAGGCCTGTCCCGGAACCGACAACATCCTCTTCCATGCTCTCGTCTTTCTGGGCAAGCGAGTTCAACGATCCACTGAAGAGCGCTTCGTGGGAACTCATGATTCTTTCGTTTAAATACGGGTCATGGTCGGCATCTGCCATAGCGTGTCCGTTTGCGTACTGCAAGAGGAAAGGACGAACAATTTCACACGATTGTCAATGTCACAAAATCGAAAGTCATGTAATAGAGTTCACTTCTGATTGGTCAAAACAATGCGAACGAAATACAGTCCAGCTCGTGGTCTCACACACTCACCTTTTGTGGCAGGTCCGACTCCAGAGTACGATTATTGCTTTCTACATGTGTACTTTGCGATTGTGTGTTAAACCCAAAACTCATTCTACTTATTCGCTGTTTGTATATTTTTTTACTATATATTTGTAAATTTTATATTTTGACTGAGGAATTTGGATTTGAGTAGGGGACTAGAGGTGTCAAACCAACGAGGGCACTATCGATAGTATCGATGTTATGGTGCTAGCCGCTAAAATCGATGGTTTGACAGGGGTATAGGGGACGGCCGGGCAGCTACCGATGTGGCCAATCGATGTGTAACAATCGCAGGTGATAAAGTTACAAAGTTACTGGACTCTGTGTCACACAATTGA